GACTGTACTCGCTCGAACGAAGGTTAAGGAGGGGCGATCTCATCCAGGCTTTCAAGATAATTAAAGGAATAGATAATGTCGAGTGTGGTAGGTTTTTCCAGTTTGATGACAGCAAGAGAACGAGAGGTAACCGACTTAAGTTGCGCAAACCGCAGGTGCGGCTCAGGTCGAGACAGGAATTCTTTACTTGCAGAGTGGTGAATGCGTGGAATGCGTTAGATGACGAAGTAGTGGCTGCCCCTTCTGTGACTATCTTTAAGAAGAAACTAGATGCTTTCATGGACAGGCAAAAAGGTGGGGGGCAATGTTGACGTAGGTACTAGACAGTAAGCAACTAGGATAGTAAAAGAAAAAAAAAAAACCAAACAAAAATACAAAAATATTTAGCTTTAAGAGGGTTAGGCCTACCCTAAAATTAAGGAACGCTCGACCTCGACACGTGATATCGAAATGGGCGAAATCGCCTCTTGATATCACTAACTCTCCTGACTCCTGACTCCTGAGCTGATTGTCTGAAAGTGAAAAACTAACACCTGTCCAAAGAGTAGAAGTGAAAACAGTAGACCAGAGCTGAGGCTTTCTTGAGGCGTTTCACAGGTGACCAGTGGAATCGGTAATGTTTATCGATGAGAAGCTTTTTCGTTGTAGAGAAAAAGCACAACTCCCAAAACAATCGGGTCTATGCGACCAACAAATCTGCTACTCCAGATGAAATTTTGGGGGTCCTAAGGACACAGAAGCCTTCAAGTGTGATGGTCTTTTGTTGCTGGAGTATCCTTTTGCGGTCACACGAGGTTGACCTTTATGCCATCTGGAGTGAAAATCAATGCGACTTCCTGCATCAGGGATGTCCTGGAGCCAGTCATCAAACCCTTGAATAATACTTTATTCAAGGGAGCCCAATGGACACTGTAGCAAGACTCGGCAGCAGCTCACAAGGCCAAGATGACTCAAGAGTGGTGCCAGAAGGAACTTCTGGATTTCATGTAGTGGAAAGGATGGCCATCATCATCGCCATACCTGAACCCATGGGATTACTCCATGTGGTCCATCTTAGAGGCAAAGGTCAATGTGAAGCCTGCAACAAATTTTGAAGCTTTAAGATGACCCTTACTCAGGGAGTGGGACAAGATACCAGAAGAGACTGTTGAAAAAGTGTGTGAACATGGGATTTGGAGGTTGAAGGCATGTGCAAAGGCAAACAGTGGACATTTTGAATGCATTTTTTTTTTCAGGCATGTCCTGTTGTTCAAACTTTAATTTTAGAAAGTTTAATTCGGTATCAATGAACCGTTTAGACATAACATCTCACCAAAGTTTGTATTCGAACATAAAGCCCCCCCTGTAGAGTGTGGCAGAAGGACAGCATCATCTAACCAGATAATTTTTTTCCTTGACACCAGCAATGTTGATACCCTCAAGCTCCAGACTTTGCCTACAGATCCAGTCAATGTTTAAGTTGTAATGAAATGATTTGACCCCTACATTGTGGGCGAAATAAAGATGCCGGTACCTTGGTTTTCATGTTTTATTTTATTATATTCGTTTCCCCGACCTTGTTAGGGAGAGTGATCACCATATCTGTACTTTGTATGTTTTCAAACAGGAGACTGTGAATTAATCAATGTGCTGAAAGTTACCTTCAGTTACAACACCACACCCTGCTTCCAAGCAGTTGCAATCCCAAGAGCTTCTCTCTGCAGTGGGATTGGCTTTCTCGAAGACACAAGAGTGGCCAGCCAGCTCCCTGGTGTAGCTTGAACAATTTGACACCATAGTGAAAGATTGTATCAAGAAAGGCTGGTAAAAGGGCAACACATTTCCATGCATGTTCTGGAAGAACTTGAGAATGACCCTGGAATATTTCAGGCCCTTTTTAAATCCAACCGTAATCATATTCAGGTTGTCAAACAGCCTGGTGGGGAATGTACTAAATGCTGACTGATAATTTTTCCTGGTGAGGGGTAAATAATATATGAAAGCCAGATTCTGCCATTTCTGATTTGCCAACACTGCAAGGTGCAAATAATTTCATTATGCCCTGTACATGAAGAACAAGAAAGGAGAGGGAGTATAACCCTGGTGAAGTCCAACATAAGAAATAGTCCAAGCTCCTTCTGCTAAGTTGAATGCAACTCCTGCTGTACTACTCACAGATTCCCTTGAACCACACAATCATGTCTTTTTGAGATCCAGAAGTAAACCTCTGGTACACACCATTGTTTCTCAAGGTCTGTTGTGAAGAGCTGGTCCATGGTGCCATGCCCTCTATGAAAGCTACACTACTTCGCCTGGATGGAACTTTCTCAAATGACTGTTAAAACTCTCCATCTTAGCACCTTGCCATAGGCTTTACCTGCTATGCTGGCAAGTGATTTCATGATAGTGCATTCCCGCAAATCTCCCTTAAAAAGTGGAACTGCCACACTGGTTTGCCAATCCGGAGATGATGTTTCTGATTCCCTTGCAGTCTGACATACCCTTTGCATCTATCAGTGCCTCTGCCTTTATTTTATCCATATCAAGAGACTTCCAATTTTTCAGACTGATGGTAACTTGCAGAACTTCTTCCATGGCAAGACTATTCTCAGCATGAGAAGGCTCTGAGTGGGTTTCTGAGCCCACTGGGCAGGCTTAAGAGCTCTTCAAAATGTTTATCCCATCTCCTAAATATATCCACTTCAATACCTAGCACCTCCCTGTTTCAGTTTTTTGAGTATGTTGCCTACCTTGCCGAAGCCTTTATTTAGTTTGTCAGAACACTTTGGTAGCAGTGCAGTTGGATTCTATTTGCATGCTGAATTCCTTATGTGCCTTTTTTGCCTTAGCAAAGAAGGCATATAAGGAACCAGCTCTTTGTACATCTCTGTTGTAACATACACTTGAGAAGTCTAACTTACTGGGCACATGGATCCTATAAGCCACCTTCTTGGCCTGATGTACTCTTGTTCTCCACCAGGGAATTCCAGGGCTGCCCAGAGGTTTCCAGGGGCCTGGGGCAAAACTAAACCAGAGACCTCTTGGGGGCCACCTTGAGGCCCTTTGGATGTACCCCTTGGAACCCCTTGACACGTGGGACCCAGGGCAGATTGCCCCAATTGCCCCCCCCTCTGGGCAGCCCTAGGGAGTTCACTTCAATGCATTAACTTGATACACCTTTAGCCACACACTGGGCTTCTTTGTGCTGAACTAAAGCAAAGAGTTTGTGAATGCTGTTGAATTGTATTCAACATAGTGATTAAAAAAATGTATGACCTCAAAGTCAGTGCAAGTCTCTATGGCAGTTATCACAATAGGCCCATGACCAGGCTATTTACATACCATGGAAATGACTGTTGAAATGATTTTTTTTCTCCATAGGTGCGAATCCGAATTTATGCAACTGGAGTTTGTCACACAGATGCTTACACCTTGGAAGGACATGATCCAGAAGGTCTATTTCCATCAGTGCTTGGCCACGAGGGAGCAGGAATTGTCGAGAGCATTGGTGAAGGAGTTACAGCTGTCCAACCAGGTCAGTGCATCACCCCAAAGTTTTCATCAGTTTGGGATAATTTAGCAGGCTAGTGTTATTATGCTCTATGCCAGTGTTTCTAAACTTTTTTCATGTCAGGGACCACCTGAAAAATGTCAGGAACTTTCATGGACTACCATAATAATCAGTTTGGGAAAGGTAGGATGCATACATATTAATATAAAAATTGCTTAATTTAAAATAAACTTGCTCCTGTACAATCTGTTAAGGTGATACTTGAGGCTGCATGCATTGGACCAGTTGGCTTATTCTTGGGAGTTCGGCGCATTGGTGACATGCGCAGTGTAGACAGAATTTTGAGACAATTCCTTTGTTTATTTTTTGTTGTCCAAAATCCAGACATGCACATATATGTTGATGCAAAAGGAAGGCATGATTATCTTGATGGTATGATCACTCAGCACTTGATACTTTTTCCTTAATTTTATCAAAAATGTTTGGTAGTTTGCACATCTTTTTTGTAGTTTGAGGGTGATGTTTGAAGATACCTCTGTTAAAGTGTCCTCTTCTGTAGCAGACAAATTATTTCCTTTGTGTTGAGGAAATGGCTCCAGAACTCACAGGTTACCAGCCCTTTGGTCTTGGCTGCTTGGAAAGTATACTTCAGACTTATCTTGAAGTGCATTAATACGGGACATCACAATTATAAACAATTATTTGTGTCTATATTGAGTGGATCCTCATTTTGAATTTCTAACAGTAGAAAATACATGTCAAAAAACCTTTTCTCCACAGTTCAGTTTTCTTAAAAAGCCATCAATCTTATTGCTTGTGTCAAAAATTGTATTCAGGGGGCTGGCAGGCTTGTATTTAGGTCATTCAGGTGCTGAAATGTATCAACCAGGTATGCAAGCTTCACCAACCAATTCTGATCGTGAAAATGAGATGCAAGATTAGATTTATTTATATTTAAAAAACATGAGAACTTCTAAGTTTATACAGTCGCAACAGCACTCAACCTACTGACAACCACCTGACCTCTGCATGGAGGAGTAACTGGCGATGAGGAGCCACAGCAGGTGAGGCAAGCATCATCACAAAAAGTTAGAGGCAATTGCTCTCTTTTTCTCCCTCTCTAAGCATGCTCACAATCTACCTGACAGCAAGTTGTTGACCCCAATTCATAATGTACAGCCTGTCATCAATAATTAAACAAAAGCATAATTTCAGGGAACAGTTATTTTATTTTAAATGTATTCTTTCTGTGGACCACCGGTTGAGAAACACTGCTCTATGTCATTGTGTCATTCCAGGTGACCATGTAATTCCTTTATACATTCCACAATGCTACGAGTGCAAGTTCTGCAAGTCAGAGAAGACAAATGTGTGCAGCAAGATTAGGGCCACACAAGGAAAAGGTGTAATGCCAGATGGAACATCTAGATTTTCTTGTGATGGCAAGGTACTTTATCACTTCATGGGGACTTCCACATTCAGCGAGTTCACTGTTGTTGCTGAGATTTCAGTGGCAAAGGTAATGATGACCATGTCTACTACTTATTTATGGCTGTTGAACTATTCCTCACCTTCCATGGATACATCTGATTACATTTACTTCAGATAGAGGCTCTAGCACCAATGGATAAGGTGTGTCTCCTTGGTTGTGGGATTAGTACTGGCTATGGTGCAGCACTGAACACAGCCAAAGTGGAACCTGGTTCAACATGTGCCATTTTTGGACTTGGAACTGTGGGGCTGGCAGTGGCACTTGGATGCAGGAAGGCTGGAGCATCTAGAATCATTGGAGTTGATATTAACCCTGACAAGTTTGAAATTGGTATACAATGGACTGACTCTCTAAGTATTTATGCCTCCTTGAAAGGTATAGTGTTAATTCCTTTTTTTTGCAGCTAGAAAATTTGGTTGCACAGAATTTGTGAATCCAAAGGATTTCTCCAATCGTGCAATTCAAGAAGTCCTCATAGAGATGACTGATGGAGGATTGGACTATACATTTGAATGTATTGGTAACACCCTAACTATGGTTAGTGCTGATTTTTATTTACTTCAGAGACATCAATCTTCAGAAAGGCCAGAAATAGACTTTGTCCTTGTGTATGATGTAGAGAGCTGCACTGGAGGCATGCCACAAGGGTTGGGGAGTGTCAACCATCATTGGAGTGGCTGCAGCTGGTGAGGAAATCTCTACTCGCCCATTCCAACTTGTTACTGGGAGAGTGTGGAAAGGTTCTGCCTTTGGTGGTGAGTGGTCATTTTACTTTGTGTTTGTTAATTATACATCCAGTTAAAAAGTAATCAGTTTATACTTTGGATTCCAAATTGCAAGAGACAAAAGGTCCACTCTTGGTCCTTATTGTCATCCAGGTGCCAGAACATCTACTTGACCTCCTTGCGACAGTAGCCAGAGTGGACCTTTTGCGTCCACTCTGGCTAGATATGCTTTGACTACTGTTCATGCCCTATGTCATGTTCGGTGCAGCAAACCTCCACTGCCAAGTTTGGCAAGTAGAGGTTGGCTGACAATTTAAATCCCCAGCAATCAACATGTTAATATTTTACTGACCACTTGAAACTTATGTTGTCCCCCCATGCATTCCACTCCTTCATGGAAAATTTTGAGTGGAGCACAAGGAAGAGCTGGAGCAAAAAAAATACTCATTAGCTGTATATTGAACTGAAAGAGTCCTGTAAACCCAGTTTTGCATTATATTACTTGCAGCAGATTAATGTGAATTAGGGTCCTGCAAATCAAACCCTCAGTGAAAAGCAAATGTCTTGTGTGCCCCTGATCCATGCATGTACATTTTTTATACTGCCAACCCTTTCATGCACTCAGGCACATGAATGCCATCTCTTTTCTCCTCCAGGATTGAGAATGGCTTTTGAAATGCTGGATATATTCATATGCTTAAGCTTGATTAAGATACACAATAATATATTTTTAAAATGATGCCATGCTGGAATTGCAAAATTAAGAAAATTGTGCTCTTTCAGCAGCTAAAATATTGAAAAGAAAAGACATGAGTATAAGTTTTCTGCAAATAAACAAAAATCATGACATTTTCATCATTGAAAAAAAGGGTTTTACAGTAAAGAACTCTGCCTTTTTGTATCATTTTATTATTAAGGTTAACCCTTTCAGGAGTATGTCTGTATATTTACAGGCTGACACTCTCCTATCCTCCATACATTCACTACAGGGAATCCTACCGGTGTTAAAAAAAAACACACTCCTCAAAGGGTTAAAATTGACACTCATGAACATGCATACTTGCATTCATGAGCACTTCCATCCTTGAAATGCTGTTATCCTCAAAAGTACTGGTACCATCAGTTTAAGATTCTACCATACCACTTGCCAACCCATTCCATTCTGCAATTATTCTCCAAGTGAAGTTTGGCTATCAATATTTTACCTGCCATAGGCTTACATAATTTGTTCCACCAAAATGAAAAATACATTTCATATCCACCCTACTGAATCCCTGTTATAACCTATATCTCCCGAGCCTTGAGGGACGAGAGCGAATCTCCGATTATCCGTTAAAGTTTCATCCCCTCCCTTTCTTATCGTCGATTTGG